TCTATGCTACTATTTTCAACAAGATTGGCATATGATTGTGTAACATGTTTGTAAATAAAAATACCACTTTCTGGATCAGTATGACAAGAACCTCTTCCTTCTGATTGCATGGTCACTGACTAAGCCAGTGCAAATTTCAAGTGAAGCAAGAATATTGATGTGTCTGTGTATGAGTGTACATGTGTATACATGTGTGTGTGGATGAAAGGGGCTCAGAAGAAGGAGAGGAATGGGTAGAATGTGTTTATTCATGTGTCTTAGTGATTAAAACACACTCCAGAATCAAATTAAATTTATTTGTGAATAATTTATAAGGATAAAATAAAAATGTCCAGCAGTAGGGTAATATCTTGCAGCTGTTAAATATAATAATTATGAAGGCTTTGTAGGAACATGAAAAAAATAAGAGCACTCTATGTGAAAAAGACTAGCATGAAATATGCCAAGGTGATCATAGTGATTAAATTAAGATGATTCTGTTATAATTCATCCTCTCACCATCTCCCTACTTTTCATTTCTTTTATTTTTTAAAAGAATAGCTTTTATTGATTTTTTTTTTTTAGAGAGACAGAAAGGGAGAGGGAGAGAGAAACATTGATGTGAGAGTGGGACATTGATCAGCTGCCTCCTGCACACCCTTGCAGGGAATGGAGCCCGAAGCCCAGTCATGTACTCTTGACCTGGAATTGAACCATCAACCTTCTGATGCACTGTACAGCACGTAGCCAACTAAGTCACACTGGCCAGGGCTCCCTATCTTTTCATCTGTCTAATCTTTTCATCTGTTTTCTAACTAAAATAGTATATTAGATAGAGAAAAAATGAATAGCTGACAGTCATATGCTAAGATAAACTTACCCTTTGGCAAAATTGTTAATGATAATGATCAGATGACCCATATACAGATTTCCTTAGTCAACTACTTTTCCTTTAGGTATTAGTCCCTTCTCTGTTTAGCAAAACTTTCCTAGAGTACCTTGAAAAAACTTACCTATCTTATTGCCTCTTGCTCAGACTATGCAATTATTACTAAATAATGATATGGGAAATATTAACCAATTAACATGCAGCCTCCCTTGATGAATGTACATCTAGAGATAACCTTTTCAAATCCATTCACTCACCCATCCATCCATTCATTCACTCAGCTCTGTCCTTGTTAAGGCTTTTGATGATGATCCAGAAGTCACACTTATCTTATTTGTGGATAATTTGAAACAGGAGATATAGGAAATGCACCAAATGGCAGAATTGAAGAGCAGAAAGATTTCATTAGGTCAGTAAGGTGGACCAAATCAAACAAGAAATTTAATATGAGTGTGTATAAGGGTCTGCAATTTGAGTTGTCAAGCTAGAGCTGTCCAAGCATAGCTGGATCACAGCCCTTATGAAAAAGCCTCAGAAAGTTTTCCGTTTCTCAGGGGGTGTTAACCCAAAATAAGTTCTCCTAAGAGTACAAGGTATGAACTAGCCCACAGAAAAGGCCCCTTTTGAGCTTAGATTTCAGTAACAGAAGTTTTATGTCACATTCCCTGGGGAGCATCAGGAGATACAGGGCTAACTAGGGCTAATCAGCGCTGGGACACACAGCCTCAGAAAGGAGCAGAAACCCTGAATAAATTAAAGTGAGATAAGTAGCAGCAACACTGAACTGTGTGAGGAGCAGGTAGCTGGGAACAGAGTGAGCCTTATGGAGCAGAAAAGAGATGGCCCTAAGGAGTTCCATCAGCAGAATTAGATAATTGAGGCTTGTGGGTATGTGCTTCTCAGACCAAGGAGCTTGAACTGTCAAGGTGAACTGTCAAGGTGTTTTTTCACTTAACAAGGCAGGATTTTATAAGATCATTTGGTTCTTGTGGCCAACCATACATATTTATGTTACGCAATGTGTAGCCATGAAGTATGTTTTTAATTTGGTCTGAAGCCCAGGTGGGGTTGAGATTCCTGATTAAACCCCAGCAACTGCAAGCTGAGCCTGCTCTACCCTTGCTTTGACTGTAGGAAGATGAGGGCCTGGGTTTTCTCCTGTCTCCCTCCCTGATGCTCCCACAGTTTTTCAGTCTTGGACATTAAAGCTGTTGGTTTTACCAACAGTGTGCCGCTGAATAGGGACTAGAAAGAATCCCCAAGAGAATGTTTATAGCTGATAACAAGAGAAAGTGTCTGGTTTTGCAGGAGATGAAATGTTCTTTTGTATGTGAGCAGGAAGTAAGCAGATAGTACGCTTCAATAGCTTTTTATACCCACTAGGCATGTTGAAATTGATCTTTTCCATCACTATTATCTATAAAACCTCTTCCTTAGTGATTTAGTTGGAGCATACAGTAGTCCATTCTCATTCAAATGTGTTCTCCCTCTTTTTTTTTGCGGGGGGGGGGGGGAGGGGGGAGGGAAGAGCTGAGAACCATACCTTTATTTCTCATCATTTTAGTTTAGATATTCATTTATCTCAATCCTAAAATTTATCTAAGCTAAAATGAAATTATAAGCAAAGGCTTGTGACAACTTGTAGCATCTTGAGTTCTTTGTGAAGATGCTAATGTGACTACCAAAAGAAGAAATAGTAAAGAAATTGCTGGCTATCATTGAAAGCCTGCAACTTTCCAAAGAGTAGTTAGAGAGTTTGTGGAGAACCACTCAATGCAGAATGATTTGGTTGTAAATTAAGTTAGATTCAACCATGACTCTTTTAATCTTAAATACTTAAGCAATATGTTAGCATTGCCCACTGGTATCTTAGATTATGAAGTCTGTTTCAGCTGTTCTGGCTTTATAAAGAGTCCATGCGGATTCACTTCTGACAGCAGGTCCTTGGAGTGTTCTCTCTCTGGGTGTTGTTGTTATTATTATTATTTTTTAAATCAAATCGCATGTTAAAAGTTGTATTGTATCTTTGTAGGTAGTCTATAGACCGCTTCCCCCCAGAATCAGCTAAGTGTCTCTCCAGACCACCTCTTCTCTGCCCATTATAAGCCTCGGCCAACCAGCCCGTGATCCTTGCACTGGGTCTTCCTGGCCACTTTGCGTGATTCTACCTGAGAGGGCAGAGATGAGCTCTTCCCATCTCAGTGTGTTTGGTCCTAACACCATGTCTGGTCCCTGTGGGGCGGCAGAAGGACAATGCTAACAGGGAGAGAGCAGGGTGCAACTAGCAGCGCCACAGTTAGGCTCCCCGAGTGTGTTCCAGACGGTGACCTCGGTTGGGGGACCAGTTGCTGGAAGGATCCCCTGTCAGCTTCCAGTCCTGTTGTTCTTGTTTACCTACTGTTAACAGAGCGAGCCCGTTTTTTTTTTTTGTTTTTTTTTTTTTAGAATCGGGCTTGGGGGAGGCAGAGGACAGGAGCCAGGGAGCGTGGTGCGGCGCACGGGGAAAATGGAAAAGGGTGGTGAAGCCCGGGAAGAACTTCCTTTTAAGCCTTGGGGGACCGTGGCTCAGCAGCCCTGGCGCCAGGTGCTCCGGACTCGCGTTTCCTGCGTCGGGCGGCGGTGGCAGAGACCTGTCCTTGCTCCACCGCCCAGAGGTGTGGCAAGCTCTGGTTGCCCAACTTTTCCAGGCGGGGTGGGAGTCCGGCCCTTCAGGAGGAGTCGCCGGCCCGGTTCTGGAGCCATCCCGGTTCCTTTCCTCATGACCATCCGGCAGGTCCCAATAGAACTGCTTTTCCAAGCGCCGTATTTACGGGGAGACGCCGGGCTGCTCCTTGCAGCCTAAGATGCTCTTCAGCCTTTGAGGAACGGGAACAAAACTGAGGAACGACGTGGAATTAGCACCATCACAAATGACCTGGTGCCTCCAGTTAATGTCACCGGGTTTTGTTCGGGAAAGGCAGCGGAGTCACTCATCCTCCGCAACAAGCTGCCACCAGAAAGTTTCCCGTTTCTCCTCTCCCCATTCCCTTCCACTGAGCACTTAGGAAATAAAGTTCATGACCCCGGCCTTTACCAGTTGCAGTAGCAGTTTCACTCCTCAGCTTTTAAAGGTATCGTGATGTTACTCCTTGTTTTGCATATAAGAAGTGGAGGGTTTAGGAAATATCTTGGGCGGATGCAACTGCGGCTGAAAAAGACGCGGGCGCACCGCGCTCTCCAGGGCCCCGGGGGGAGGGGGCACGCAGTCCGTCCAGAGGTGCTGGGCAGGCGTCCGGGGCCCTCGGGCTGCCTGGTCCAGTCCAGGTGCCCAAGGTTTCCTGCGTCTTCCGACGTCTTGGGGCATTCCGGGTCCTCGCAGGGACAGGGGACGGGAGAGGGGGCGGCGGCTGGACTATGTGGGAAGGAAGGAGCGGGAGCCGGACTCCCTCCTTGGTGCCACGGACACCGCTGCCAGCTTCCCGTGGGCCGGTCTCTGCGCGCCCGGGGCGGGAGGCGAAGCTCCAGTTCTGCGCCCTCACCGGCTTCGGGCGGTCCCCGGGGCTGAGTAAGCCGGACGGAGGGAGCCGGCCGAGATTTCCTGAGCTCTAAGGAAGGAGGAGGGCATCAGGGTTAGTGGGCCGGGAGCGGGACCCAGAACCTGCCCGGCCGCACGCGGATCCAGGCCCCCCGCCCCCGCCCCCGGCGCCCCCGCCCCCGTCCGCCGCCGCAGGGAACGAGGTCCGGGAGGAAGAGGGTAGGTGGGGAGGAGGGTGACGGGTGGGGGACCCCTTGACGTCACTGGAGGAGGTGCCGGGGTAGGAAGTGGGCTGGGGAAAGGTTATAAACGGCTTTCGCCCCGGCTCCCCTCCATCGAGGTCCGCTAGAGGATCGGAGCGCGCCGGACGGACACTCCTCGAGGCTCTTCCCGGCCGGGCTCGGAGCGGGCTCCGGGACTGAGCGCGGCAGCCAAAGACGCCGGGCTGCGAGGATTACCGACAAGTGACTGTGTCCCCGGCCGGAGCCGCAGCGAGGGGCGCTCGGGCACTGGAACTGAGTGCGGGGCGGCGGCGGAGAGCGGGAGACAAGCTCGGCGGCTGGGTCAGTCGCCCGCCAGGAGCGCGGGCACCGGGCGGCCGGCCACATCGCGCTCACCATGGTCTCCTGCTGGGACACCGGGGTCCTGCTGTGCGCGCTGCTAGGCGGTCTGCTGCTCACAGGTGAGACGAGGCCGCGGTGGGGAGTCGGGGGCACACCCTAGGGGCGAGGTGCACGTGGGGTGGGGGCGCGCATCCGCGAGAACCTGGAGCACGAGCCTCACCGTGCACGCCGGGGGACGCGGCGCCTTTCTCCGCAGCGGGGTCCAGGCGCGCGCCTCGGGGCGGGGGGCCGCGGGCATCGCCGCCCTGGATGGCAGTGAGGCTGCCCCTCGGCGGCTGGAGACGCCATCCCTCTCCGCCTGGCTCCGGGCTCGGGGAGCGCTGCGCGCCTGGACCTGCCTGACACTCAGACCTGATCCCAGGCTGCCGGTCTGAGGGGCCCTCCGGAGCCCTGCGCCGCGGCTCCACGAGCGCCCGCGAGGCCGCCGGGGGCCGGGCTGAAGCCCTAGGGTGGCGGTGGCGGTGTTGGCGCCGGCCACGACGTCGCGCCTCGAAAGAGATGGAGGAGAGCCCTCTAGGAGGGGATTGTGTGCTTGCCGGGAGCAAAGAGATACCCGGAGATGGCAAGACCTGGTATCCTTCAAAACACTCAGAGCCCACTTAGGACTGCCCAAGGAATGTTCCTCAGGCGCCCACTCCTCTTCCGGTCCCGGACCGCGGGGCTGGAGCGCGCTGCGCGCAGCCAGGGAGGGAAGGGAGGCGAGGGGGCACCTTCCACCAGTCCAGCCCAGGTCGCCGGCCAGGGCAGTCCAGAACCCAAGTACCGTTAAGTTTTGGAATTGCAAGTCTAGCCTTTAAATTCCAAAAGAAGAAAGGGCGGATGGTTTGAACTAAAAGATGCGGTTTGAACGGTTGGTGCTATCCACCCCTTTGCCTGGTGTTAAGAGAAATTGGAGGCTGAATAGAGGGAGCTAGAAGGTCACACAGGCGGTTAGAGTGGAGGCCGCCCCAAGGATGTGTCAAACCCAAGGAATTTAGGGAGGATTTGCCCTCCTGCTTCTTAGAGCTCAGGAAACTTCTGCCGGCTCCCTCTGTCTGGCGCCCGGCTTACTCACCCTGGGAATCGCCTGAAGCCGGTGAGGGCACAGAACCCATCGGGTTCAGTCCCACAGGACAAAGACAGTAACATAAAATAAGTTACTGCAGTGATTCAAGGAAAGGAAAGTCGGTACAGTTGGGCATATTTTTAAAAAATGCATGTTAAACCCTAAAAGCTGTAGGAAGACGAATTAAACGGTCAGTTTCTAAATAACAAGCTATAGTTCCAATCCGAGGGGCACACACAGTCCTAATGTCTGAGAACCACACTGTCTGTTGGAAAAAGTTGCTAAAATAACTATTGAAATGAAATATTGCTGTTGTAATTCAAAAATGCATTTTTTCGTTTTGAAAAATCACTTTTAAAGAAAAATTGCTCAGAGCACCTAAATAACTTGCTGAAGTCTGCCTATTATGTAAAGGTAAATCTAGGTAATTACTGTAAGTCCAAAAAAATGGAGGGAAGAATATATATTTCATTGCTTTGCACAGATATATCTTATTTTTGTTTCAAACTGTGGTCGACTAGTGAAGTATAGTTCTCTGTGTGATTAGGGACCACTTACATCGGCGGAAGGTTGTCAGAAACCTAAGAAGATCCTCTTGTGATTTCTCTTAGATATTATTTTATTTAGAAGGAGGCAGGAATCTTGGAACTCGTGTGTTATAGGAAGAAAGAAAAAGTACTGGCAAGGTGAGAACCCCTTTACCTGCCAGTTTAAGGAGCTATTGGGGTTTGTAATTGTGAAGCCTGCCTTCCCAGACCACGCGCTTCTCTGGCTGATGAACAGAAACAGCCGCTTCTAGAGCAAATGCTTCTAGACCAAATCAGGGCTTTCTAACTAAACCGAGGGGCTGCAGTCTGAGGAGAGGGTCCAGAATGGGTACAAATTTCTGCCCAGTGGAGTCCTCTTGCACCCATCATGAGCTGGGTCTGCTCACCTTCAATTGTTATATATCCTTTGTGTATTCATCAGTAATTATTACTGTGTGTGAATGATGTGCAGGTGTGCCTTGAAGATAAAATAATCAAATGCTCAGTAATACAAAAAGATAATGCATCCCCTTTCCCCCCTCCCCCCCAAAAAAGTGTATTTACCTTATTACAAATATCCTGGGAAATAAAAAATAAAAAAGCCAATAATTCAGATACTTTCAAGTATTCTGTATTGCAGTGTCTTCCTCTTAAAAGGATACCAGTCCTCCTTTACTCCACACAAAGTCTTATCTTACTTTTAAGTCACCATGCCCTTGATTAAAGCCATAGACCTTTTTATCTGGCCCCCTGTTTCTTGAATTTTTGAGCAACTAGCATTTACAATTTGCTATAACTAACTGGAAATGCTTGTGCATTTTGTGAGGGCAGTCTACATTAATAATATAAGGTTAAATCAAAATGTACCTGAAAATAACACCCATTCTTAAATTGAATGTAATAAATCTCATAATAAAACTATTTTATATAACAATTTTTGTTGTTTTCCCCAAGGTTTATGCATCCACAACTTTTTGGTTGTGTTTTCCTGAATTGCATATTGGAAACTTTAATTATTTATAGCACTTGGCAATCCACTAGTTTTCCAACTGATGGGTCATGTTGCAGATGTACTGTAGGTAGCCACCTACTCTAGGTCCTCAATATTTTTGCCTTATTTGTTTATTATTACTTGAAGTTTTTCTTTCCCAGTTGAAAATTCTATAAAAGGCTATCTATTTCTTTTCTAGTGAAACAGGCTTTTTTTATTTTCATATATAAAATTCAGAAGTTAGAATAAATTATTTTTTCTAAGACCCTTTCCCAACTCTAAAATTCAATAAATAAGTAGGCCGAACACAGCGTCTCTTTTTCTTCTCTCGTTACCTACATTGGCGTAGGGAATGGATAGTAAACCCTGTGACGCTAGAGCTGAAGCTGGAAGGATGAACAGCTTTCCCCTGCTATTAATAATCACACTGTATTTTTTCCCTAGTAGAATCCATCTGACCCACCAATTAACTTGGTCTTTAATGGGTCGCAGGAGCTAAACTACTAGAGTATGCACAATCCAGTAGTAATAATTAACCCAGGCTTTCTTTTTTAAAGCAGAATGTGTAATTCTAGTTACATTAGCTCTTGTAAGGATGACAGTCATTTTAAACCATGTGTGTTCCTTCTTCTTCTTCTTCTTCTTCTTCTTCTTTATTATTATTATTATTATTATATTATTATTATTAATGCTCACTTTATTCTAAAAGAAGTTTAGATTTCAATGAGGGTACTAACCCTCTATTTTATATTAATTTTTAGAACAAACCAAATATTCACTTAGTTCTCCTTATCAAAAACTTGAGACATTCTAAATCTACTTTGAAAGCATAGGATATTGAAGTTGAAAATATACGTTGCAAAAAAAATGGTTTTATATTGACCAAAAAATAGCATGTCCATGAGGATGGTTATCCAACCTATTGCAAAGTTATGGCTGGTATTGACTCTGCCTTGGGGAGTTCTGCAAAGTAAGAATAAAAAACAGAGCAGTAGCTTCTGTACAGTTTTATGTTGAGATGTATATGTGAATGGGCATAAGAATGGAGAGCCAGTGCGGGAAGCTCTCAGCATTTGAGTGTGAAATGCAAAGTTTGCTGGCGTTAGTAAGATTTTTGGTTCAGTTGGATCAGGAGTTTATTGGATATCAAGTACATGTAATTTTTTAGAGTATTTGTCATTGTGGATATGGAAGGAAGGACATTTGAAATGACACCTGGCCTTATTTTTTTAAGAAAAAAAAAATATTAGGAATGGTTCAAAGCATTAGAAGTTTCGGTTGCACTGGGTTTAACCAATTTACTGGAACATAGGCATCCATTCGGTTTCATTGGCCTTCGCATGCTGATGAGCTGGTTTGGAATGACAAGATCTCTTCCCACATGCTTTTCAGGATTACCAGTGGCTCCTCACATACTTGGGTGCTTGGAAAGTGCATGCTGCTGATTAAATTACTGGATTTTATACCAGATTGAGGGAGAGGAAGGAAATAGGAGGAATGGAGTAATTGAGGGAGAGCTTGAAAGGAAAGCCTCTGGCTTAGCATCTGGGACCACAGGGGGGTTTCATTAAGGAAATGGTTCCATTGAGTCTGCTGGAGATAGTGGACTAAATTTCCTGCATTGCTGCTGGGCCGGATATGGGGGGATGTCAAGAATTCCTGGGGATTTCCCATCAGTCTTGGTGAAGCCATTTTTGATGATTGCTCCTCTCCTTGAAGTTTTTGAGAGATTTGATCTTTTTTCATTGAACACATACATTGGAAAAGTAGGAAAGAACCTCTTAGATGAAATCTATTCACTTCAGAGATGAGAAAATACACAGAGTAGTTTAGTGATATTTTTCAAGGTCAACAAACAGGTGGCTAGTGGCAAATGTAGAACAGAACCCAATGTTCATACTCCAGATAGCATTTCTTTAAATATTTGTTGAATGACATTAGTAAAACACTTAACATTTCTTTTTAAACGCTGGCATCATTTTTTAATATGGAATTTACATATATTTTCTTGAAGCCCTTTGGGGTTTGAATGAAGAATATCAGAATTATGGATGTTTGGTAGTACAGTGAAAGATTCGGAGAGAAAATTGATATTCCTTGTGAGCAGTGCTATACAAACTCTACCCCAGGCAAAGGAATTACTCACCTTTTTAGATGAGCCTTGCACATTCATTGCCCCATGCTTGTGCTGTTTGTCTGCTAGACCCTTTTTCTTCCTGTGCATATCCTCCTCCCCTGCCTTCAAAGTCCAGCTCAGAAACCTGTGAGTGTCTTCTCATAGCCCCAGACAGAATGAATTGTTTCTCCTATTCCTATAAGTACTCTCCTATATGTGGCTCCGCTAAGTGCTCCTCTTTCACTCCTCGCCTGGCATTGTTCGTATTCTGTTTATGTGGCTGTGCCCTTAACCTTTGAGAAAAAGAGGCCATGTCTTAGCTGCCTTAGATCCTAGGCACCTAGTGTGACACCTGGCATGGAGGTTTTCTTGGGATGAAT